GAAATACAAAGGGGAAATGAAAGAAACATATTTTAATTGTCGTTTGCAATTCCATTTTTTTAAAATCATTTTCAAACAAATCTTATAGTAAAAATAATTAATCTTATTTATCTTATTTATTTTACACACTCCAGATACATTCTTTGTCTACTTACTAACTATTATTCATCCTACGTTCCTAATTAACTATTTACCCTTAAACGAAATCCTATAATCTGATTTTAAGAATTATCGTGTTTGTATCATCATAAACATTTCAACCCTCTTTGAGGAAAAATGTTTTTCCAGGATCAGCTCCAATGCTGGAAGTTGAAGATAAAACGAATACAGCGTTAAACATTTAAAATGAAAGCACTATCGAAGAGTTGGGTACACTCTTTGAACATTAAAGGTATAAAGAATCTGAAGATTATACCCTTTTGTTTAAAAATCAAATCTACAGAATTAACGGAGTCGTCTTAGTAAAAATGAATTTCTCCCGAATCATTTGTTACATTCAAAGCAGAGGCAAACTTCGAACCGTACGATCCACAGATCCTCGGAAATGTATTCGACCGTGTTCCCTGTACCTGTCAAGCGCGTGTAACTTGAAATATTTTAGTTCCTCTGCGTCACAGTCGATTGTCGAATGAGCCTCGTGGGCGCACACGTGAACACTCCAAGAAACTTTTGACGGATCTGACAAATCGGAGACATTCAAGACCGAATCGGAACAGGTACACACGGACAATTCACGGCCGTTCGATCATGCGAGGTGGACGTTTGAATACGAAATATACATAAGTCGGCCGAACCATTCGATTCCCCTATTCCAGTAAATCGGCCTTGCTCGAAGGGATTTTACCTTTTAAAAGGTACCACAGAGAACCGCGTGATTATCCTCGATATGGAAAATACTCCCGTGGATCGTGTTACGATTCTTCCCCCATCCCCTTGTACCGGAAACGAATAAAATTCTCCGCCGAAAATCCCCGCAAAACCGTTCGCCGTACAGAGAAAGAAAGAAAAATTCCACCCACTTTGAACTGGCTTCGAGGGGCCAACCGTAATCCAAAGGACGACGACGCCACGAAGAATCGCGTCCTATCTTTAATTCCCTTTCTGATCGAGGAAATATATAGAAGATTATCGATTCTCGTCCAGGGGAATCGTGTTATACACGCGATTTCGCGTGTGAACGCGCAGATTAGGCCGATCGAGAGAGTTTTCTCGATGATCTTTCCGACCGCCGACACAACCGATAGTTTTTTGAGGAGGACGAGGCCGTGTATACGGGCCATTTGAGGATCTCGAGGGCGCGTATTCTCGTGGGGTGTTTCTCGTACGTACTCGTCGCACAATGTAACACTATCCCCCTTCCTTTTGTAGAGGAGCAATCTTGGAGTGTCTTTAATGCGAAACCGAGCGCGCGGCGTTCTTGTATTATTTTGTCGTGAATAATCCCTTTATACACACGGCCAAAGAGGCCCCCTCTGGCCTTTCAAGACGCGGACGGGCTACGCTTCTGCTCGTTTGCGCGGATAAGCAGCCTCCTAACACTCCTCGAACGGAAAACGATTCGGAACGAACCGCAATGTATGCAATCACGCCGGGACCAACGAGCGAAAGAAAAAATTGATTCTTGCCTCGGATTTTCACGACGATTTTTTGCTGATTTTTTAAAATTAGAAATGCAGAGGCTAATTGAATTTTCTTGGGTGGAGGGGTAAGCATTTTTTGTTAGTTTTTTACGAAAGGAAATTATAGTTGTGAATGCATCAGTAGGTACTTTATAGAATCATTTGAAAATAGGTATAATATCGTGGAAGACAAATACTATTGTACACGATTAACCTTACAATGTATAAAGGGGTAATCGACTATCCCACTGAACTCTTAGTTTTATTTATTCTCATTTCGTTAGGTTGGTAGGTATGTGAGTTTCAATAATAAGAAACTAATAATATATAATATATTAACCCTCATCCGTCCCTTGTGTTAGTTTTCTCTTACGAAATTACGTTATTTTGTCATTTGGAATTAAATTTAGCTGAGGCTTTGTGATTTTTACCTTAAAGAATTTGCAAATTTAACTATTTATCACTTCGTTGTAATAATTTTTACCACGTGGTCTATTTGATACCGAGAAACAAATTAAGTTGGGAAAATGATGGACGGATTATTACATTAAAATAATATTATAATGCTAATAATATAAAATATTCTCATGTTGACTGTGCTTCTGTGTGTTCTTTAATGCAAAGTCTGTACTGTAAACGTGACTGATTTAAATAGAGACTTAATGCTCCGCGACAGAGTCAATGTATGCTAACTTACGGAAGTAATGAATACAATTTTTTGCGATATCACGCGAGCAGACCATAAATTTTCTGTTCACGAGGTCAGAGGGGGTAGGGATCACTGCGGAGGGGTGGTTCCGGTGACCCTAAAATGTTGTGGCACGCGTCGCAAGCGTCCATCGGCGCTCGTTAGTATTCATTGTCCCTTCGAGTAGTCAGTTTTGGAAACGTATACACGGAAATCTGCGTTGTCCTCTGGCCAAGAAAATTTATCGTTACATCTGCGGATGAAAACTGTCCAATGACCAAAACGTGAATACCGCAACCCCCCAAAAAGGTAGAGCCAACTTTCTATTTACGTAACGATCATGCAAATAGGTAAAATATTGTTCATTACTATGCACTATAGTATTCTAACGAGAAGACTTCTGTATTTTCTGTTTAAAGTATCAGAGTAAGTCTCGAATGCTTACAATTTTTGTTTATATCTAATATTCCTCTATAGACAAGCTTTAGAATATTTTATACATTCAAATATAACATGTTTTATCTTCTACACCTTGTCTGACAAGTGAAGGATGTATCGAATAAAGTATATACAGTAGAAGCAACAAATATAAGGAATATATTGCTTCAGAAGATCAGTTACGTCTGATCTTCGTCTCCAAAGCCATGTTTACTGATCACATTATCTAACACTAATCATTTCTATGATTATTAAAACATTCTCAACTGATTTAAAACTGTCCACTGATGATGTCGTCAGTATACTGCGGATTTTATGCATCTATCGTCTATAGGGCTCTGAGATATACAATAAAAGACAGAACTTTCATCAAATGTAAAAAATTTTCTGTTTTATTCTTAATCCAATAAGATACTTAAGGGAACCAAAAAATTCCTACCTTTATGTTTGTCTTTATAAATTACTTTAAACGATGTCATTTTGCATAATTATCATCAGTCTTTCCGCCAGTCTCCAATATATTAAAAAAAAACTGTTCTTCGTAATCATAATCCTTCGAATACTATAAAATCGATTTCTCCCACCAGGACCAGGAACCCGAAAAAATTTGTTTATCGAAGCCCCGGGTCGTAGAGGTCCGACGAAATTTCGTTACAATCGGACGTTTTGCAGTCGGGCCTCTGTGTTTCGCGCGGGGCACAATGAAGCCCTGAAGTGTCTTTTAGTGCACTCCGGTAGCGCTGCGTTCAATGGCCGCCGCGTCACAAATGCGCAGCGGGGTGTCCAGGCACACTTGAGATTCGCTACTCGATACGAATGTCGTTCCCCGACGGTGGAATCGTTGTCGATCGTCCGCCACGACGAGCAACGAGACCCCGATCAATACTTCTCCCGTCGCGGCGAAGAGCTTAATATGTTTATTGCTGTGAGAATGTTACGTTCGGATAGGTGATAGATTTTTATCTGGCGCGGTTCCGCTCGGAGGTGCAGAAAACCGACCAGGGGATCCTTCCTACTAGACCTTTTGACTCTTCGACCCCCTTGTTTTCTTCATTGTTTAATGGCTTCGGAGTTTGATAACAACTTTCCTGGTTCGTTATACCGTAATGATCATTTCATAGTAGTTTATTGCAGTCAGTAAGGACTAGGCGTTGTGGTATATCGAGTGTATTGGAAAAATAGATTATGAATGCTTTAATTATCAGATTATATCTTCTTTGTCTGATTATATTTATTGATACTAAGGGTAAGTCGGAGTTAGAGCCTAAGTCTGACGAGTCATTTACTTTAAACATGAGGATGATTTGTTAATTTTACTTGTCCAGCATATTTAGAGGATTCTGTTTAATGCATGCTTAGTTAATATTGAGTTTGGATTGTAAAACCTTCTAAAATTTCCGGACTCTACATGGGTGGTAATCCTGATGATTCATTAATGTGATGATAGGCGACGTATTATGCAATGTGTTCACGGAAGAACGGACAAGTGTCAGTTCGAATTCGACAGTTGTACCATTTTTAAAATTCAAAAAAGGACCTAGTGTCGGAATTCGAAACTAAATCCAGACCTTCTTACTCTAGTTGCCGAAATCACTATTAGATAGCGCCACGTGTCAGTTTTGACTGGTTTCCCGCGCTTTTTTTTTAATTCTTAGAACGTATTATTTTGCTATTATTTATTGTTTCTTGTTATTTTTTCGTAAATTGGAATTTGGAACAGGAGTGGAGATAGTGTTGAGATTAATGAATAACGCATATGTGTGATTTGACTGTTTTTTATTGAAAAAGTCGTAAAAAAATTGTATAAATTTCACAACAATTGCCTTAAATACTCCTTATATATTTATATAATTTCTTAACACCCTGAACGTACATTGCATGTTATGTCTATTCTATGTCTCGTCTGTGATAACATTCAGATTTCGTGCTTTATCGGTAACGTCGTATATTGACACTGAAATGGTAACGGGGCTCCAGAGCCCCTGAAGCATGTGACAGAAAGTTGCATTCGATGTCAGGTCTATTTTATATCTTGTCTGTGATGGTAGGAATATTCTGTACCTAGTTGGTCATAGTAGCGTTTCCAAATATTATATACCCCAAGATTAAAAGTCGTAGACAGCGGTTTTTTTAGAATCCTTCCGAAACAGACAACTACAGTTAATATAGAAATATACGATGTTTATGCAGTTAGAATATTTAAGCCAACTGGACTGAATGGAACTTACAAAATTTATATTCAAATTTTAGGCAAAATGTCGAATATTAACAGATATCTAAGCAATGAAAGTTTCTCTCTTACCGACAGTCAAACAGAAAGTTTGAAAGAGAGAAAGATCGATATACCTGTAGTGGATAACACAGAATCCAGGTGAATACCTACCAAATCAAATTTCCTACATTTAAACAGAATAGTAATATAATTCAAGAAGCTAAAAAAACCCAATTGTTCGTCACATTTAGGGAGGAATTAATAGCGCGTATTGAAACCGTGACTTCATGCATAATCCAACAATTGTGTTCCGGTCGTTTGCCTCAAATGTCGTATTCGTCCTCGCACCCTTACACTTTAACGGGCACGCAACAAATAATGGAAGAAAACGACGATGAATCACAATTCCCTGAAGAATCTAACGAAATCAACGGAGAGAGTTACCAAAGTGACAAAAAGACTGTTATCAATTTCGCCAGGAAGAGAAGCAAAGACAAATTTGCATTAATGATGACCGTAATGGCCGCGGCTCATCGTTTGTTAATCACAAATACCACAATAACGAGACGATCGCTTTACTACGATCTAAAAAACGAGAAGACCTCGAATTTAGTACCGGAACAGAGACAAGTAGACCTAGCTGTGAACCACGTGGCTAATCTTCTGAATTGCGCTCCTTGGGAGCTGAGTAAGTCTGTTTCTGTTCTTCCTTCTTTAATCATCTACATGTATCCATATCTTTACTACTAATTGTGCGACAAGAAATAACTTGAATCAGATAAAAATTTAGATCATACTCACTGAATTAAACCAACAATCATCAGTCGTGTTATACTGTGCCGAATGTTCTGCTAGAAACAGGCTTAAAATCCATTGTTGAGCTGATATCTCAGAAACTTACAACTGTTACTTATGACCGTGTTCGTCTTATTCCAAACTATTACAATATATTGTGGCATTTAAAACCACTGTCACATTAGTAATATTAAAAATATATAATCATAAGACCATAGATTTCATTTGTCCCTTCTCTTCAATTGTTTATTTCCCGTTGTGATACTTTCTTCTTTATAAAGTCAACTCAGTAAGAACTAAAGCAATAGATACAAGGTACTAAGGTCTGTTTCTTGCTGACCATCCCCTATAGCAGTGATGGGCAACCGAGCCCGCTCGGGCATATTCGTAACAATACGTGCATAAATTCAGTAAAACATGGCTTATATATTATTCAGACTTATAACAATAAAACTAATTCCCTCTTCCGTAACTTGTAAATCTTCCGTACGATGTTCAAAGCTTCATATGGAATAGTTTCATACATTTGTCGTCGAAATTTTCATTCTTGGGGATATACGATAGATGTCGGACTCCTGTGGAGGGTTTGCGAAGCAGGACACATCACGAGTCACGAGTCGTGATTCACGACATATTTGTGTGTGAAGAAAATGATAGATACGTGCTCTCATTTGCACATTTCACCCATCACTGCCATATGCCCGCATGCTGCACGTTGTTGCCCGCTAGTTAATTTGGCAGGCGTTGAGTTGCCCATCACTGCCCTATAGCCAGTACTTACAATCAACAGTCAAACACGAGGATAGTGGCGTTCAGCATTCGATTCACTTAACAACAACGCGAAGTGCTCTCGATAATCCTTCACACTAACAATTAATCGCCTAGATCTCCTACCCACCTCAAAGGGATTAGCAGCCGGTGAATTAACGCTCACTTTGGCCGACAAACGAATCATCGATTGCACCGCGCCTGGAGGGGCCCTTATTCCGCACATCGCGTCGAACGTGATCTCCATTCGGACAACGGCCAAAATGGCACTGGTCGTCGAGAAGGACGCGGTTTTCCAAAAGTTATTGGAAGAGGACTGCACTAGCTTGTTGAATTGCATTTTAGTGACGGGTAAAGGGTATCCAGATGTGGCCACGAGAATGTTCGTGAAATTACTGTCGGAGAAAATGGCACTTCCGGTTTACGCGATCGTGGATGCGGATCCATTCGGTGTGGACATCATGTGTGTCTATCGGTAAATGGATCGTTGATGAAATAAATACTTTTCTAAAGTACAATTACTTCGTTGTCCATTATAGATGACAGATAACAATCGATAAGATAACATTTATCGACAGAATTTCAGTAAATAACGATATTTACCATTTTATTACTAAAATATTTAAGAAGTTCCCAGTATAATTTGTTACAAGATTCGATTCTAAGATAACGGAATGAATATGTATGCGAAGTTGGACGGAGAAATAAGATTTTTTTATTGTTTTTTCGATGTAGTTTCGGATCGGCGAGTTTATCCAAGGAGAAGGAGAGTTTAGCCTGTCCAAATGTGCGATGGCTCGGGATACATCCGTCGGAATTGGTCGCCTTGGGTGTGAGCACTGTTCCCCTAACTGAATTCGATTTATCAAAATTGATCGCGATCAAGGGTCGACCTTATATGAACGATGCGTTTCTCAAGGAGCTCGAACTAATGAGGACGGGTAAGGCGGAGATAGAAGGGTTGTCTTCTTTCTCGAGGAGATTTCTTAGTGCTACCTACTTGCCCTGCAAAATCAAAGGTGGCGATTACATATAACACGATCGACCAGGCTTTCTGTTTCTTGTTTCTTCTTTGCCTTCGATAAATACATCTAGATCACAGAGAGTGGTGTTCCTAATCAACTAATCTAGTTGTCAAAAATTTGAAAGAACTGTGCTTTCTTAAATAATTTTAAGTAAACGTTAAAGGGTGAAATTTATTATTTTACCAGATTCTTTATTTTCCTGTCTTTCCTCTGTAAACAACTAAAAGGTTTGATCCTCCTCTTAGTTTCTCATTGCGTGTACAAGGAAAGAATAATAAAGTGTAATTTAGTTACCTTCTTGGATCTCAGCGGCATCGTTTCCTCTTGTTTCACCACTTTGGCCTCGTAACTGTCGCCATTGTCCTCCAGATTCACCAATTCTGGAATCTTTCGATACGATCCCAAGCAGACGACACTGTTATCCGACGATCTTCTCGAGAGAACCGCGGATTCTGTGAAAACCACATCCGAAGCGAGGCTTCGCACGCTTTTCGATCTCGTGTCGTAAACATGATCGTGTAACCTTGAATCGACAAAAAACTGCTCGATATCCTGCATTAAAAACCATCTACATGGTATTCAAAGAAATCGTGTAAACATTATTTTTTACTGATGTTCCGCGAACGACGGAACAGACTTCCGTTTATTGGTCTGGGGAACGTTCAACGTTCGTCGCGAGCGTTTCCTTCCTCGTCTTCTTCGCAACGACATAATTTTCACGATCGGACCAAATTATATCACCGAGATATGTATGTTCCTAAAATTTTCTCGTCTCGATTGAAAGACAGCAGCGAACGTGTCGCTTATAGGATAATATGTCTGAAGGTGTGCACTCGTCGACGTCAAGATGAATCTACAGGGTGGCAATGAATCAACAACCGTTTCAGGTAATGTAACAGTTTATTGAAAACACTTTTTGTTCGCCCGTTGTCACGGGCCGAGCCTCGCTGATATTAAAAAACGCAGAGTCTTAGTAACATGATTATCTCGTGGGTGTTACGTGGAATACAACATGAACGACATCCGCGAAATCGGCTCCCGCGAGTGGATCGTAACAATCATTTCTCGATCAGAAACGAAACTGTGGTTGGCTGGAAATTTAATTTGTACGTCGCATACATGTGTAATTTGTAAAAACAGAAACTTCCATTCAGTGAATATTACAGGATAAATTCTTCTCGTTTCTCGATGACAGAGGGTTATATTATTTAAATAAAAATAGCGAAAGCCTCGAATCTTTAATTAACACTTACAAGCTAACGTGGATCAAATTTTACCCCACACGAAATTTATGTTACTACTATTAAAAAACTGTTGCCGATTTCGTGGACGTACGGTTCTCCAGGTCCGTGCGAATATCGTAAAAAACCGAGTGGAAACAGTTTCCGCGTGCTCTGTGGCCCTCCCACGAGAAACTATTCGGAGTACGCATTTCTCTTTTTCTTTCTCTCTCTCTCTTTCTTCCTCTCTTCCGAACGATAATTCGCGGCGGATCGCGTGCACCCGCGGTGGACGATCCGGGGCCAAAACATTTATATAAAAAACAATCGTCGGAACGCGCGGGGTTCCGCGGAATCGAATACGAGTCGTCGGGGGCAAACGTTCCCCCTTCCACCGACTAAAACGCTGCTTTCGTCTGCGCGTTCTACTCTGATCACCGAATCATCGATCATTCGGGCACGTCGCTTCGAGCTGGTTTGATAGATCGTGGTTCGAGCAGACACGCGTTGTCGATGCTAAGTCCAAGGAATATGTCTTAATGAGACATTTTTGAAACGTTCGATTGTGGTTATTGTCTGACGGAGAAGAATGCAGGGAAGATAGAGAAATTGTAATAAGTTTTTTTTAAATAAGGTTCGTTTTACCGAGGTATGAAGTCACTTGGATTTGGACTGCATTTCAACACTGCCATTGTGTATTTGATTGTGAGGAAATTATTCTATCTTCTGTTACGATGAAGGGATTAATTGTATAATTAGGTTCGAAAGAGGGGTAGAGGTCTACAAAGTCTAAATATTTATAAGTTTGAGTGATAATTGGTACAAGATTATGTTCAATGAATTCTTCATCGGAATTTACTAATTCCCCATACTTTTTAATATCTCTAGAGGGGAGTTCAAAGGGTTAATATTGGTGATGACACATACTGTCCACTGTGTAAGGCTAAACCAAGTCATCTTTGGAAACGAAGTATTCGAAAACAGAACTTTGGGTGGAGTTTAGACAATCGAATGAGTAATTGATACATGATTAAAAAGGGTGGTTTAAAGGTTTGAACCTGTAGGAAATTTTATGTGTACAGTAATACGTGAATAACTTTATAACGATTAATAATTTATCGTTGACAGCCTTGGACTTGGTATCGAGGCCACGTCGCTCGAGCAATTTCGTTACCGATTTACCTTATCTAATTAAATACTTCGATAATTTCCTTAATACGCATATCCGGTTAAAAACGCGCGGAACGCCGTGTCGCGGACACGAAACGGTTCTCCGAATAAATCCGACAAATAACCGATAAATAACCGTCAATCTGAGTATCACAGATTATCCAAATAATTTCCGAATAGACGTTACCGTTTATCATTATTACTCTTTTTTTTTCCTCCCCCTCCTTAACGGATTATACAAACGCTCGTTAGCATTTCATTTTTTTTTCTCTTGTTTTTCTACCCCAATTTCGTTTTTTCGTCGTCTCGAAATCGTCGAACGTCGACGGACGATTTCCGGTTCGCCGTCTGGATGAGCGGATCTCGTTTATGTTTTTCTTTCGAATTTTCTCGAATTCCATTGAACGAGATTTCTTTTTCTCCTTTTTTTTTTTTTGTTTCGTTCGCACGGGCCCGATGCTCGAAGAAACACTCGAGTAGCCGCGTGAATAATTAATTAATTATTGAATCTGGATGTCCACAAGGTTTCATTTTTTGTGGCGATTAAGTTCCGCGTTAATTTTATCGCGTGCTTGCTTTTTTTTATTTTCGGTTCGTTTGTTGATCCTTGTCTGCTTGCCTGCCGTCCGTGGGACCCGTACCTATGTCTACGTTAATTCGCCGCACTTTCTGCCGTTATTATAGTTAATAATTGATTGCGATTGCACACACACGCTCTACCATTCACTCGTTCGTGATCTCGCTCTCGCTCACTCGCTCTATCTTTCTTTCTCTCTCTCGTTCGCGCGCGCACGATCTTTCTTTTTCATTCTCTCACGCTGTCCTTTTCTTTCACTTATATTCGACAATGAGTAGTTATTCCTCGAAATCCATTAAAATTCATGCAGGAAAATGGTGACGACTTTCCAACGATTGCGTGAATTGAACTTTTTTAGTGGAACAACTACTAGTCTGTCCTCTCCCACGTGACGAGGAAATTGCGATATGATTTTGGAAATGGTTTTGAATCAAGGTGGAATATTAATACTTTGCTGTCGGATGACGTAGTAGTAAGTGTTTCCTAAATAAGAACTAAAATACTAAAAAATAGGGAAAAATCGATTTTTCTATGGGTAAAGTTTGACCAATAAAAGTGAAGTAGTAATTTCTGAACATTTTTAGAATACTTGAAGTTGTATATTTCCAAACACAAAAACCCTCCCGCGAGTAAAGTGTTAAGTGGACGATGTAGGAACTCTGAAAACCATCAAAGCTTCAAGTACACTACTCCTATAAATTCCAAAATTCTTGCTGTTCCTTGATTTTCTTCATAAGAATTGAATAATTGCTTGACCAAAAAGTGTGTTTGGACAGCAATTCCTTCGCCACGTGCTGCACTCTCTACGAAATCGACATCAAGCGCGTAATTTTGATCTATCGATCCTGTCATGCCTACTCTCATCCATGCGCAAATGATCCCCGACGAGGATTACACTCGAAAATACTTCTTTCACCCTCCCCCGTCTCTCTGCCTATTTTATACTCTATATTTCCCTTGTATTTCGTTCCTCGTCGAGGTTCCTCGACGCAGTCCTGACATGGACGAACACCACCACCGATCACTCATCTAAAGACTCATTAAATATTATTAGGTAATCTCTTCATCTTCTCCGTTTCTATTTATTATCGTTTGATTAGTTGCACTAGCCTTGATTGTCGGCATGTAAGGGCTGCTTGGCAGGCAGCGATTATGGCGACGTGCGACTCTCTTCGTTCGAGCGCGACTCTCCTACTACGATCAACCGTTGAACATTGTCTCCTCTCGTTTCGAGACTCGTGTCTGTCGGACTGGCGAGGGAACCTTCGAACTATCTAACCCTTTCGCTGTATAGACTCTCAATCGCTACATATTTCAGGATGATTTTAAAATGGTCAACAAGAATTTTAACGTTTAAGAAGTTAATACAGTTTTATGTTAAATTTCGTGATCTTAATTATAATTTCCTATCCAGATCGTCGCTATCGACTACAAATAAGAGCTCAATTCTTCATTTTCGAGTGAAGTGAATATATAGAAAACAAATTTCACTTAATTTGTACAGGGTGGTCCTGTTTACCTGAAATATCTGCGTTATTTTTGGAGATGTGGAAAACCTTTACTTACAAAAATTGTATGGTACAATGGGAGCTATAACATGCGAGTACTAATTTTATTAGGTCATCTCCATTTCATCAAATGGTATGCTATACTTTTTAAATCGAGGTAACCTTGAAGACTCCGAAAACGCTGCACCTAAAAAAAATTATTACTGCAACTGTAACATACAATTTTCGCAGGTAAAACTCTTTCCATATCTCCAAAAATAACGGAGATATTCCAGGTGAAGAGATAATGGGCCACCATGTATAACAAACTGACCCATATAAATATCGTGAGTAAAGTTTTTCCCATATTTCCAAAAATAACGGAGATATTCCAGGTGAACAGAGTTACTGGCTCACCCTGTATAATAAACAGCCCAGATCCATCAGCGAAAGGACCAAGAATCCTCGCTAGTCCGACAGACCTCAGAACAGTCACACTTCCCAGAAACATCAACCACATGTCCGAACGAACTCATCCCGAAAGCTCCCGAACGATCTGACTCTCTAACTTTCTCTCCCCAAGTCCAGGAACCATTTGAGGACCCACTAAAGTGGTCGACGTTGATCGAGAAAACGGGTGTGTGTGTATACGATATTTAACGTTTCGTTGCCCGCGACGAGGTGCGTGAACGAGCTAAAGTATACGGTGTAATCTGAGCGTTACCCTAAAGCCTCGCGCGCCTCTTACGTTAGTTATCCTGGAAACTGTGTGTGTGTGTGTGTGTGCCTGTGGTTTTACCATTTTATAGTACACCTTAGCGATATAGGTACAACAAACGATCAACGACAAACGGGAACACATGCGAACCTCGTCGAGGGAACGCGTCCTACGGCCGTGGGACGTTCTCCACAGACGCGTATCAGATATATATATATATATATATGTATGTATAATATATACAAATATTCAAGGATCGAACACGATGTGTCGCGAGTTGGGTGCGGGGCAGATTGGGAGAGAAATCCATTCGCCATTATCGTTAACGCGTGTCGTAAACGTTCGTGGTACATAGAGACTAGGCGCCGAAAGCTGTACATAACACAAAACTTAAGGACTAAGCGTTCGTTTTTCTAACGGTGTGACAGGTGAATCGGGTGTATAATATTTCTGTATACCCCTGGACGTGTGATGCCGCCGCGGCAAGGCGGTGGCCCAGCCTTTCGTTTCTTTTTTTTTTGTTCCCCCGGAGATTAGGGAGGCACCGTAAACAGGGGAAAAAGTAGTCTGCTTGCGCGACCCGGGAGCTTCCCCCAAAAAGCTCGTTCCCGATCGAGTCGAGCCTTGTTACTCTAGAAATTCCATCTATTTAATCGTAGAAACCAGCGAGGTGGAGAGCTTGCAAGCTTCCCGTCGAACCTCTACGTCCTCTTCAAGCGAACTAGAAATTCTCGATCCGAGCGATTTTGTGAACTTTTGTGTATATATAAAAAACGTGGGGGACGCGAACTTGCACGCTCGCGCTAAGCTCGATGCGCTCTCGATCATCATCATCATTATCATCATCATTACCATTGTTTCTCTTTCTTTCTGTCTCTTTATCAGCGTGTCTTCGAGTGTCCCTGTCGGATGTACGGAGGTTTTGTATAGAAAAATTGTGGCGAGCTTGCAAGCTCGCGAGAATCACGAGTGATCGTGGATCGTAGGAATTCTTCGGGGATCTCTTCGAGTGATCTCGAGGCTAACTTTTCGTTTCCCGTCGTATCGACACTGGCGTTCGTTCTAAAAACTAGATTACACGAACTCTGGATCGTGTTTCGCAGGTTCGATCGCTAGATATTTTCCGTCCGGGGTTGCGTTCTTGTCCAGAGAGCAAAGTGTTCTTCGTAGCAAAGAGGAATTATCCGCAGGCTTATGCAGGCGGCTTGATATACAACGTTATTAACGATATTTACTTATACAAACGCTAGGTTGTGTTTTATTTTTCTCTTTTTTTTTTTTACCTCGTCCCTCTGTGTCCATTGCTTTCCTTCGATCTTTCACCTTCTGTTTTACCGATCGAAGCATCCTTGGCGTCCAGAAGGATAATCCGATTCGTTTGTTCATCCTTCGACGCGGTTACGTGACGTGTCTTCAGACATTCGCTTTTGTCGATGTCGTTTCCAAGCGAAACGATCGTTACATCGACCGTACGGATGCATCCGGCGATCCACTCGGACCAGACGAATCCTGAACGCTGAGACTTCTCGACGAACATCCACGTACGTCCTGGATGCGTCGGAAGTAGGCGAGCTAGAGACAACGAGGGAGCATTCGGCTTGAGGCACTAGGACGCGTCCAGGGAGAGGCACTCGGCGAGGAAGTCCTCCATGGAACGATAAGCGTGCTCCAACACACCTGCTAAGGCGTGGTCTTCGTCCGCGTAACTCTGTTGGAACAGATCGATTGGTTATTGAATAACAACAACCAGAAAACGGGTGATAGATTTATATGAAATTAGCTATTGTGTCGATCGTCTGTGGCAGAGATAGTTTTGGATTTGAAGTTATCAAGCTAATAACTTTAACGAGCTGATCGAGAACTCATGAAGTATCCTAATTCAGATCTAACAATTTTAATGAGACAATATACAGTAAATCATCGATGAGTGTTTGAAGGCTCCTCGACACTGAATTCAGACGTTATCCTTACTACTGAGGTGGGGCGTCGTGGAACCAGTCAAGCCCTCACTGGTAGAGATAACGTTTGAACACTCAGTGTTGTAGAATCTTAGAACACTGATCGATGATTTACTGTATCTTGACATATGCTTACACTTACCTGGTACCTAAAGATGATTCCCGCTTCGGACAGAGCCTTAGCAAAGGCGACGCCGTGCGTGTAAGGCGCTGTGAGGTCAGCTAGACCATGAAGAAGGTAGAGGCTGTGGCTCGGTACCAGCCTGGCTCGTTGAGTCAGATCAGCCTCCACGTAACCCTTGTAGTTATCGGCTGGTGCGCCAAGAACGCGCTCCGTGAACGCGGAATCTACAACAGGAAACACGAATTCTTGATCGTGGAACCTATTTCTACTAGAATGGAAGTAATTGTCATGAATTTACTCACTATAATACAGCCAATCCGCGATCGGATTCACCGCTACACCGCATTTGAACACGTTCTCCTGATTACCCAACACCATGGCCGTCACGTAGCCACCGTAACCCCATCCCCAAACACCGACCCTCGTGACATCAAGGTACTTTAACGTCTTCAAGAGGTGCCTGAGCACGGTCAGCTGGTCTTGAACCTCGACTCCACCGATCTTCCTGAACAGATCTCTTTTCCCCTGACCTCTTGCGCCCCGTACATCCAGTCTGACGTAGACCACGTCATTATGACTGGACATGTAGGTTCCCCAGTCTATCTTGAACCGATCGGTGACAGCTTCGCTTCCTGGTCGACCGTTCACCTCGACGAGAACCGGAAACGCTGCGTCTCTGAGTTCTTCTCGCCAGGAGGGTGGCAGAAGAAGTTGTACCTGTGCTTTCCAGCCTTGTGGCAGTGGTACCTGAATATATTACAGAGTTAATTCTGACTCGAAATGGGTGATTCAATCGGTGGTTGTGTACCTCGAAACTTCTCCTAGTCGGTAACGCCAGCTGCGACAGCTTGTCCCCTCGTTGGATCCTGGTGTCGTAGAGCAAACGCATCATCTTGTGGGACGTCATCAGGTGGATACCTGCTAGAGGAAGGCCCGGGCCTTCGCAGTGAAGGACATAGTAACCCTGAGAGTCGTCTAGGACCGGCGGACTGACGGACGCGCTGAAGTGCGTACAGTTGGTGTAATAAAACCTGTCGCGACGAAGATCATTTCACGATCAGGCTCCAATTGATCTTTGAATACGTCTAAACCTCGCTTACCTACTGCTCCAAAGAACTTCGCCCAAGTCGCAGGTAACGCACAGGGGTTCTAGGCGTCGAGGATCGTCGGCTGTTGGATCACGTACGACGTACAGATGTCTCTGGCCTGGTCTCCTTTCCCTGGTGCCCAAATAATACACCAGGTGGGCCTTGGTGTCCCAGGCCAGGATTTCGCTCACCTGACAGACAAGAACGAAAACCATGTAACGATTGTCATTAACGACTATAAACTTGACAGTTAACCTCAACACGTTTGCCCACCTCGTAACGACCATGGGACAGTACAGCTATCCTCTGCTGGGTCAGGGTTACGTGTTTGATGTGGGTGAAGTGTTCCTTGTCGCCCTCCTGGACGGCGGCCAGCAGTAAGAAACTGTCGCCATCCGGGGCGAAAAGAGGATGAGGTTGAGCGTCAAGCCACTGTCCCTCCGGCGCTCTTTCCGAATGTGTCTCCTCGCATTCCCATAACGGTGAACGACAGGCGGACACCACAGAAAGATTCTGCGATCTCGTCATCCAGACGACAGCGACGTGGCTGGAGTTGTCGCCCACCCAGCCAGCGGATATTATGTAGTACTCCCTAAGAAGAAGAAGAAGAACATGTTGTATCTAATGTTCCATTGAATTATCAGAATCAGAACTGGACTATCCGAATCTGTACCTCACCCAACGAGTCGAGTCAGTAACTACAAACGAACGGAAGTGATGACTATTTAGGAGGGACACGGACAATTACTAGGCAATAGCTTAGCACACATATGTTCCGTTTATTTTCACTGACTCGCCTAGTTGGACGGACCACAGAAACGACACTTTGACCAGAGATTCTGGGAAGGATATCAGAAAAACCATTTGTCCTCTTACTGTCCATCCAAAGCAGGCGGTGGCTTCAGTTTAGTCTTGGATGCCGTCGTCGTGTTCCCAGTCCCATTCGTCGGGCTGGTCACGTTCACAAGCTCCAGTAACCACAGATCGACCTCCGGATTGGACGAGCCTGGAGTAGGGTATCTGACGGATTTCGAGGGCGGGAAAGTGCCTCTTCTGGGTGCGGTCAGCGGACTGGAGCTCGGACCATCGTGACCTGGTTGAGTACCGAACCACGGGAACTCCAAAGCGGTGACCTTGGTGTCGTTGAACGAAGCGTAGAGAAGATGCGTGCCGTCGGGACTAGGCCATGCACCCTCTGGACGTGGCATCACCTCTTCTTGGTACAACCAGTCGGGGACACCGTTGTAGATCACACCTGGGACACCTGTGTCGGTCAGTCGTGAGTCCTCCGCCGCGGACGGTGACATTCTCACGTAAATATCGTTCTCGGATACCATCAGGAGACCGGACGTGTTACCCAGCCAGGCGGCGTGTTGCAATCGCGTTTGCTGCATCCTTCGCGACGTGTGCAACCGGAGCGGTGTGTGATGGCTAGAAGAGATATTGGTAACGGATCGGGACAATTCGGATTTCCTTTCTATTATGGACGCGATGGTTTGTGTTCTTGGTATTTAGTATTTTTAAACGTTTTTGTCCGACGTAACTGGGAAAGGACTTTTAAATTAATATCAGAAAATAATAGTTCAGAAGGGTATATCCCTTCGAGATGCACGTAGGAGTACTCACTCATTCGTGACGTCGTAGACTGTATAGAAAGCGGTGAAGGTATGTCTGTACACCTGAAAGAATAGAATCGCTTTTGAAAATTGAGTAACGTAAGTCTCTTCTCGAACTCGTCGAAACAAACGCTATCATAAAATTAGGTAGTTAGATTTCATTTAAAAAATTAACTCGACTTTCAAATCCCCTCCACTACTCTGTCTGGTAAAAAATTGTCACAATACGTAATGTCCCCTTCCATATCAAATAAGTTTTGCAAGAACATACTTTTCGTATCTTCAATTCCTTTGGAGATATTCCACTGTTTTTAGTTTATCTCCTCAGACGCGGTGTACAATAATATAAAATGTACAATAATTTTAACGTTTGTTCTGAAACTATTTTATACTTTCTTTCGTATCTTATTAAATACATAAAATAACTTCAGAATAAATGTTAAAATTATTATACATTGCAATGGTATACTGGGTCTGAAGGAGTAAAAAAGGACACTCTGTGCACAAAATGATTGGAGAAACATTGCGTTATCGCGCTATTGACTCGACATTCTCCCATTTATCCTATCAAATACCACACACGCCTCCACAAAATTATTCCACCTTTCTTTTCAAACCAGCCCTACTTCGTTCAGACGTAATCACCCATAAGTTGTTTACTAAAAAAGCCTTCGAGAACGATTCAGTATTACTCACCGGCTTGACATTGTGCTTGAACAACACGTAACGTAGGTCAGCGCTGCACTGGTAGCCTTGAACGTTCAGCTGTCTCTGAAAACATAAAGTCGCGGGAGATTTACGGTTTTATGTATTTTCCATTTCCTCTCGGTTTGGTCCCGCGGGAATTTCTCGCGAACGTTAACTGCCCCTCCCTCTCTCACTCCCACACTAAACTCGCCAGTCCCGTAAATTCGAACAATTTCGAAGTTTCCGACCCGTCAAAAAACGTCCAGCCTGATTTTTCCGCACGATTTCTTCGGTCTCGAGAGCGAGACTTGTTCGCCGAAACTTGGCGTGTCGCGCGACTGCCGTGCTCTTAAATCAACCCGCTCAACCCACCCGACACTATACATTCTCGCGATGATTCCCCGTGAATACAAACGAGTCCCCCGGACGACATCAATCACGCCCTTTAATTACACCCCGCGAACGAACCTCCGGCCATTATGAATCACGATATTAAACTATACGACCCGAACAGATGTTGATTATCTGCTGTACGTGTTCAGTAGTTCATGAACGTGTGCATTAAACTCCAGTGAATCTTATTTAGCTGACGTGTTTTACCTTAAACTATTGGATTTATCTCTGTGAATTTTGGTAGTTTAAATAGAGTCGTAACGATGAGATATTTGGACATTTTATTGACAGTGGTTGACGACATAAGTTGTAGTAAGCACTTGTGTTGTATTTATAGAGGAAAAGGAGGACGTTGACTGAAGCTTATGAATCTGGATACAGGAATGTACAGTAAATCAGCGATGAGTGCTCGAAGGCTTCTCGGCACTAAGTGTTTAGGCGTTATCCCCTCCACTGGGCGCTTGACTGGTTCCAGGCCCCTCCCCTCACACCCGATAATGGTGGGAATAACGTCTGAACGCTCAGTGCCGAGGAGCCTTCGAACTCCCATCGATGATTTACTGTACATAATAAATATTCTACTGAGGTGTATATAGTTAAACTTAACCTAGTTTGAAGTGTCACACTTAACACTTTGACTGCTCGTCACCCAAATATGGATGACAGGTACATTGCATTGAGGCTAAATTATTTAAATACCATTACAAAATTTTTGCGCAAAATTAATATTAAAGTATAATCTAAAACGAGACCAAGAGCCTTTATTAACTGAACGCATATATTTTCGACGATTTATGACTTAAAAAGCAAAGTAACGTGTGTCTGGCTACGTACGGCCTTTTTCACTGTAGGACTTAAATAGTAATATTGCTGGTTATTTCCCTATGATTCCTGCCTCCGAAAACCTGTTCGACAAACTCATGAAACCCGCAGTCTAGCTACAAAATCGATCACGGTAATCGAGCAAATATCCCCAAAATCAAAATTTACAGAAACATGTACAATTGCGTCGTTCCCCAAATGGGAACTTCAAAGTACACTATTCGTGCTGTCTCGATTACAGGGATTGTCGAGTGTATTTGCAAAACGAAGGAAAACGGTACCAGCGATGCGTTTGAAACAGATATTAACGCGACCAAACGGACACGTTGCATGGAATTGAGCAGGCCGGGGGGGCCGTCGATATTTGTTTCTGAAAGGACGGCGAGACGGGCGCGGCGTGTCCTGCTGGACGCCGGATCGGATCAATGCTGGTGTGTGTTCGTTCGTCTGTGCCCTGTCTGCCGGTCCAGTAGGAAATAGAAACGAGGAATTTTTGGAGCTGGGCCACTTTGGCCGGGCGCGCCTTGGTTTTTCTCTTACCGTTCTCCTCGATACATTCCTTCCTTTCCTTAACGAATGGTAGTCTTCACAAGATTCACATATTCTTCAATCCTATAGTAAAATTGTGTTAATTAAATCTAAAGAGGATTCAAGATCCAACTTTTTGACAGAATTGTCATTCTTATTATCCCTAAAATTGTAGACTTCCTGGGCGTACCCATTAACGGTACATTGGGGTAAGGAATTACCCTACGATTTTTTCAAACACCCCTTCTTTTCTAATCGCAATGGAAACGATTTCAACCCTACTAACCCTATTCTTTAGGCCTTAGACGATAAGGCAGAAATTAATGTAGTTTTGCCAGATTAGGTGATTATCGCAATTTGGGCGATTTTTGTACTAAAATTGTGATAGATTTGTTTTTCAAGTCGCAAATTGCAAATTGGACTTTTGTATCTTTAATTCGTTGCATATGTCTATTTTCTGAATGTATCATACTAAAATAAAAAATACTTCAAATTGAAAATCCCGCGTCAAAAATACCTTCAAGATTTTTTTGACAGCTTTATTGCGACTTTGGGTGATTTTAGACAACTATGTTTCCGAAAACCCCATCAGAAATCTGGTAACACTGTTGATGTATAATATTTTTCGTTTCGATGAATTTAAAGTAGTGACAAGTACTTACTTATGAAGCCACAAAATTATTAGCCAATTTATTTACTTCTGTGTACCGTAGTAGGTGCTCTGCAACTAGACAATTACCCGCCACGAAATGGTGGAAGGAAAATAATTTCAAGCAACATCGATCACGCACGAACACACCGCCTGTCCATCTGAATGAATCATGATCGTTGCATGACCGTTCGTTAACGATCCATGTAATTCACGTCACGGTGTTCAAAGAGGACCACGATCGGCTTTAAAATTATTCCGTGTCTATTAAGTGGCGCGGAATTACTCCCCATTCCTCATTCGAGGCAGCGCGCCATCGCTGGCAATCGTTGCTTTCTGTTTCCTTCGCTCTATCGTTTTCGGGCTGCCCCTGGGGCGTGGATCGTTCCATCGAACAGAAAATGCAATACCATCCTCTGGAGCTGAGGCAGGAGGAATGACTCCCTTTCCCTTGAATAAACCGACGAATACCTCGAACTTTGCCTTATACAGGACTCGTCCGTTCGCTAGCTCTCTTTGTTTTACGGCGGGGGCTGCGGGCTACACGCTCGCCTCCTTGATAGATAAGGCTCGAGGGAACGGCCGTTTGATACCAACGTTAAGGCTGTTTATTGTCTACGCCCCACTCTTTGTCCCGTTCGCAGCAACGGATTTCACGTCGGCGACGCGTAAAATATGCCTCGGGGATTAAAATTAATTTAAAAAACCATTAAAATTAATAAAGAAGCACCTCATCTGCTTTCATTGTTTTCATCCGCGGGACCAGAATATTATAAGCGATGAGGCACCTATGGGAATCGATAAAAATATTTACTGACTTAAACGGCAAATCCAGAGAACACAGCATCAATGGATGCTTACTCTGAATTGTATATTATGCCCCCTTCCTATTGTTACTTCAATAATAGATTATTATTTTGCAGCGTGTGTCGTTAATCCTCAAAGACACGTACTGTGAATACGCTGTCCCCTTTTTTCGTCATTACAAAGGCACCAGCAGGCTTTTTGTTTATCCTTCGATTTAATAATTTTGCATTTTTAGTGATAGATAATTAGGATGTAAGAAAAACAATTTTTCAAGCAAATGAAATGTAGAGAAATACAGGAATACGCCGCCCGTGTCCTTAAGGTGTAATAAAAAAAAACTCGGACGCCTTTGAAACTGTGGATGCAACAGATATATTTTCGCGAATAATAATTGTCTTGTGAAAAAAAATTCACGTACTGTAACTGAAAAACTTCGCCAAAAGATTTAGTCCAAACTCACAGAAAGATGTAATAATCTCCAGTGATTAGTTTCAAATTGAATATGAAAGAATTATTATTAATATCGTGTAATTACAGCGGTGTATTTTTATGGCCATTTCGTCAAGGGGGCTCGAGTTAAGTCGGACGGCGGCGATCGTCTCGTTCACCTGCGAAATTTTTGGTCCAGACACCCAGGTTTAATTACGATTAATCCCACGCCGGTGGATTTTGGCGCGACCCGTTCCCGCGGTCGCGTTTAATTAATTTCGTCGTACGGCACGGTAATTCGTTAAAATGGGGATTTATGGTGTTTCTGCTACCTCTTGGTTCCAGGAGATGTCTAGGAATTCAAGCTTTCGAGACGCTATTTTGTCGGGGACGTGCTGATGATTCGCGTGGGAAATGCCATCCGCGACTGTTCCAGGAATATTTTTATTCGATTCTCCGCCAGACGCTTGATGCCAGACGGCTGACGAGGACAAAAAACACACCGAGTGTCGCGGAAGAAATACAACGTGTCTCATAATTAGACTGCGAATGTTTATGCGAAATCATAATTTTAAGTAAATTCATAAATATAAAAACGAGATAAAAGTTTATTTCCTGTACCAGATTATGTTGATAATAATTTATGCTAAACTAACACAAAAATTAAGAATAAGTCCCGAATACAATTTCGTCGTTCTGAATTTTCGTTTAAGTTTTACATGCAGAAACCACCCTGTCAAAGTGTCTGACATTTTTATTAACACCGTGTATACAAGCATAAGGGTTGAGGCATTTCTTAAAATAGAAGTGACGGAATCTAAAAATCTTTTAGATTACCATAATGGGGTAGCTGATAAATGATTGAGCTCGAGCATGACCACGACGATAGTTTCAATTTGTCAGCTTCGTTAACGAGCCGTCCAATAGACTAATTGCAATATGCATCATAATGCACGCGACGTAACGCGACCGGCCGCGGATTAATTGGCCGAGAAACACGTTTCGAAATTGCGTAACGATCTCCGATCTGGTCGTAAGTTACGTGAACGTGATGGATCATGCGTCGACCGCGATCGATCCCGCGGACTCGGTGAGCGATTGGCTGACACGCCATTTCAGAAAATTGTTGTCGGTACGACCCTCCAGGCCCTCCACTTCCAGCGAAAACGCATGTTCAGTTTAAAGTTGTTTTAATCGTGAATATCGAAAACAGATTTTAATGGAAAAAGTTTAATCGCACTGGCGAAATGTGTGTACAGAAAATTACTTTGAGGTCATTTTAACAAAATAATATAAATTTTTTATAATATTCTCTAACACCTGATTACTTATCTTATGAGTATCAATTAATTATGAGTTTTCATGAACTTTCACAGTCTACTGATCACGATCTTAAACTGTCAACTTTTATAACTAGACTGCGGATGTTTATTGAAATTATCATTTTCAAAGACTGTTTCATAGAAACCAGAATTTATTACGAATCTATTTCATCGAACATAGGGTGTTGTAAAATTTAAAATGGTTTAAACAAATGCGTACACTAAATTTTTATTTTTGTTAGGTACGTTTAACGACTCCCTGGCAGCAATTTGTTTCTCCCTGTGTCCCGTCTGAATTTCAATTCTCCTCGTTGTACACGTTACGTTATACTGTCACACCGGGAGGTTGGATTCATGAAGATGCATAGGGGGATTAAAATTCAACTAAAACCTCGAAGCGTTATGCAGATCGACACTCGACAGTCGTTTCGGGGCATTCTCTACCGGCAACATCGAAAATCACAGATACAAGGATTCCCGGTCGAAATGCAGGGAATTAATAAAAATTTTAAATGGAACACTCAGAGGTTGGATTCTACATCCCAAACTAAAACGAGAATAAAACAACGAAATTCCCTTCGAGGCTTCGTTTTCGAGATATTAATTGTTAAAAATACAGGGAAAACACGCTTGACATACGTCTGACGCGACGAGTGGCACACTGTTCAAGTATTTGATGAGTTGGTTTCATTCATTTCATTCTATTTCATTCATCAGTTTCATTTGAACATCGACCGAGCCCGTCTACCAGCTGGGAATCGGTTGTTCGAGTAGTATAACCCATCGAGTCAGACGTATTTCGCCCGTATTTTTAACAATTAACACATCGTCGAACGAAGTCTCGAAAACAATTTCGTCATTCTTGATTTCCATTTTAGTTTAGCATGTAGAATTTACCACGTGAAAGTGTTTCCCACATTTTTAATAATACCCTTTATACAGAATCACAGAGGAACGTCCACAATGGACGACAATAAACGTTGATGCACGAAAACCATTTACGATTCTCTATGTTTCGGCTGATATCAATGTTGGCAAGCATTTTAAAACACTTGCCGTGTATTTTATCCGATCCTCCGAAAAATTAATTTTCACGCTCTCGCCGCGAATCACCCTTTCCCCCCGACGATCGCTCGTTACAGCTTTTATCGGATCGTCGAGAGAGTTTCCGGCGCGTCAGACTTTGAACAAAATTTGTTCGAGGTACGTTTTACGCTCGATCAAACGCGTGTCATTTTTCTATGTACTGTTTCGAAACAATTTCGAGAGGCTCTCTCTTTTTAAATTTTTTATTAACTATAGTTCCTTCTTTTTATAAGATCTGACCTGAGTTTGTAAGAACAATTCAGTGGTTCAGAACAAAAACGACAGATGTTACTGTTTGTATTTTTTTTTCTTTTCAGAAGAGGTAAGAAATATTCTGGCATTTTTAATAGTAAGAATCGATCATTTTTCCTTGAAAATGAATTCCTTTAAAGTCCATGGAAATAACGAACATTGGCTAATTTTTGGGGCCAAGAAAAATATTACGTGGATTAGCACCTCTTACTTTTGCTTTCCGTGGGTGTAATATACAATAGTTCGATACTCACGAGCGTGTGATTGGAGACAAGAAGGGACACGGAATTGTTGCTGGTGTCCAGGAGAGTGAGGGAACCGTCGTCGGCTTGATAGACAAACTTGTCGTGGGAGATCCAGGTCGGTGTTAACCTGTGCGGCGTCAGGTCATCGCGAAGGCACTCGTCCAACGTGAGACGCCTGCCGCTCCAGTACAGCAGCTCGTCGACGTACCTAAACATTCGTGTTCGAACATTAATTGATATTTCTAGATAGCATATTTTAATTATTAATCATTACTAGACCGCAGATGTTTATGCATTTACAGGGTTCCCTAGGTTGCAAACCGTGGGAAAATTTAGATTTCAGTAAAATTTAATAGTATTCAGGTATTATTACTAATATTTAAAAACCACCCAGTATTCTTTTCAATTCTGCTTTTTATTTATCACTAGCGAAAACAGTAAATTTTCACAAACATCCGCAGTCTAAATCATTACGAGAGAAAAAGAAAGAACTAATCACCGAAAGCAGTTCCTCTTCGTCGAACGAGGTACCTTTACAAAAAGGAACCGGTGTTCCAAGCTTAACGGCCACCCCGTTCCTATACGATCGCCTCGAATCAACGATCTAACTACCCGTTCCCTCGTAAAATCCCTGAAACGATCGAAATCCGATCCGTTTCGCGTTATGCTCCCGCGGCGACGGGTATCACGGGGCCACCGCTAAAAGGATCGGAACGATCTCCGCGATAAGGGGACGGATTAATTTCAGCGAGAACGGTTGTGCAAGGTATATAGGCTACTCTCTCGACCCCTGAAAACTATCGCCGGCTACGAGTCGCCGAAAAGATCGGCCCCTGATAGGAAGCCATGGTGGGGGAAAACCGCTCTAAGAAAAACGTCGAAAAGGAGAAGGAGGAGGTTGGCGTGGAGTTGGAGAAGGAGAAGGTGGAATTGCAAGTGGAGCTGGAGGAGGAAGAAGAGGAGGATGAGAAGGTGGAAATGGAGGTGGAGTTCGGAGGAGGTGAAGGTGGATGTAGAGGTGGAATTGGAGGAGGTGAAGGTGGATATAGAGGTGGAGTTGGAGGAGAAGGTGGAGGGAGAGGTGTAGTTGGAGGAGGTGAAGGTGGATGTAGAGGTAGAGTTGGGGAAAAAGGAAGAGAAAAAAGAAGAGGAGGAAGATAAGGAAGAGACTAAGGAGGAGTATGAGGAGAAGAAGTATGAGGATAAGGAGGATGGGGAGGTGGTGCAGAGAGGAAGACTCACCCGAGAAGGTAAATGGCCGTGACGATCCCGGCGATAACGAAGCCGATGACCAGCAGCGAAAAGATTATGCTCCGCCAGTTGTGGCCGCCCTCCCCGTACGTTAGATCCTGTGAATAGAGCAGAGATCCCTTTGGTTAGCGATCGATCTCACGGGCCGGGTACCGACCGGTGAAAGCGTGTCTACGAATGCGGAAAGCTTGCTCTGCCAAGGCATGCAGGTCACGAATTTCTTTGGGGGGGGGGGAGACACCGACTGCCACGAGTGATTCGCGATGTCTAGTTAACACGTTCATGCTGGTGATTGGTTATTAGCAGGTCACTGGATTGACTTTGATTTCATCTGATCGGGAGTCCGTGGACTCTTTGGAGATTCTTTCCGGGGGATGGTGAGATTTTCTTTTCTAATTCCGTTCGTGCACGGTCGATCGTGTTAACCCCTCTTTGATACCTGGGACTGTGTACGGTAAACGATAAAATTATGACAATTCGACCGTCATTATTCTTGGAAGATCAATTTCATTGGCATTTTCTGGATTAATTGACGGAGGGTATGGATTCTATTCAGATTGTTATTATTTAAAGAAATCCATACTATTCGTGGAAATTGCATGCAGGAAATGCTGAAGAATTTAATCTTTGAAGAATTATTACGCTGAAGTTGTTACAGTTCTTACGGTAGGTACTGTTTCGTTTTAATAGCAATATTATACACGTATTTTGTTTAGCCATAGGCGTTTTATTGCCATCATCCATGTCGAAGGGGTGAAAACAGCCATCAAAGTTAGGGGTGTGAAATATATTCGGTCGAATATTTCGGAAATTATTAGAGATAGAAAAACAGTTCAAATTGCAATATTATATATTTTTAAACGAGATCTCACCCCTTCAACATGGATGACAACAGGCAAAGAAAGAATACTTCCTAACAGAATTGCATCGAAATCTGTGATTGTCACTTCGGTATGTTCCCTTCTTACAATTAGATCATATACCACAATCAAAATACAATAAAATCTGTACGATCTCGATCCAAATACTACAAATAATCTCTAAAATCCTAAAACGTTTCAAGAATAACCAGTTAATTTTCCATTCTGTAACACCGAAAGATTCTTCTTCTTCGACTTGTTCTTAAATAGATTTTATTCTGGCGATCAATGGAGACGACGTTTTTCGGGTCGAGTTCGATCGACGACGATGTCGAGAATATCGAAAGTTTTTTCCCACGGTGTTGTGGTCGCGCGTCACGGCGTCTGGCATGCATATTGCATTCGGGTTATGTTTGCAACGTGAACCCTCTCTCTCTCTCTCTCTCTCTCTCTCTTTCTCTCTTCCCTGTTCTGTTTGCAGGACTAAGCCGGATAACACGTACCATCGGCCGTGTAATACGTAACCGGCGCGACTCGGTTTTCGGGACCTGTTAGAATCGCCCCACGCGTGAACGGGACCGGAAATCGTTTATTGTTAGAGCGGCCGCACCTCCGCTGGGGATATATGGATCGATTCGACACGTAATCGCGGTTAATCCGTTCCCCGTCTGGTCCATTCAGAATCGTCGCAAACGATGATCGCTTAACCGGGGGATCGTGCCCTCGAGCTGTTGGACTTAGCAAATCCCGCTGGAATAAATATATCATCGTTCAGGCCTAAATGACGGCGATGACTTCACGCGAATTCAATTATAGAGCGAACTACTTATGAGAGATGGGGTAATTCTGTTCTTTTCGTAGGTCTTCTCGAACTTAACACTAAAACTATCGACGATAAACGCATAGCTGTTTCGATCGGTTAATAAACATGAAAAACTTATGAAAATTTGCAAATTTATAAATTGAATAATTTCTTCACTTGCATATTGTAGTAATAGTTGTAAAAGAAGTGAGGAAATTTATTATTATAACTAGACTGCGGATGTCTTTAAATCGAGGTTTTAATAAAGTTCACAGAATGCTATCACCTTTATTTCACCAGATTAGGTACCACACTACGAATCTTATTTTAAAATTAAGAAACATTTATTAGGAAAGCATGATAAAAGTGAAAATCATGAGAATACATAAATAGAAATTACACAAAAATTTCATTGTTATTTGGAAAGTATACAAACGAATATGTGAGTCACTGTATTTGGCATCGTTGTTCCTGAACCACCCTGTATTAGATTTAAGATTCCTTTCAACTTATCTACTTGAACCACCCCTATATTCTCACCTACCCTACAAGAATATAACTCCAGAAAGAGATCTTCCGAATCTTATCGAAACTCCGATACACCCGATTCAAAGTCGTAATCAAATTGTATCACCCTGTTATCCAGCAATATCGCAGACAACACAGCGTCGATGCATGGAAATTGAGAAACGATTGGCCGGCATCAGTAGACGGTAATCGCTTTTCGACGACTTGTTTACCGTGATGAATAATCCTCGATCATCCACGAATCATCCTCCCTCGTCTAACATCGATCTCCTCTTTCTCTCCCTCGTCTCTCGTCTTCCCTCTGCACCCGCTGCTTTTTATTCCACCCATTCCGTTTCCCTCCCCTTTCTTCCACTCCCTCTTTAATGTCTCTTTCCGACCCCAACTCCATTGGTAGCTGATCGATTCATCGCCTTTGAATTCCGAGCGTGCAACCGTGCACGTGCGCGTCGTGAGCAGGATATAATGTTTTCGATACACGGAAGACAGACTCACGCAGAATCCAAGAGCTACATCGGGATGCAACGTGATCGCGTACACGGTTGTTTACAGGTGCACCTATGTGTGCACTTTGCGGGATTATTCGTTGCGCTCGATATACGAGAGTCGATCGTCTGTAGGAACTTTTAAAACTGGCATCGATGGTGTTAGACGCATATGTACATAATGGGATCCTTCTTTTACACTTTGTGCTGTATAGCAGGAAATCTATTAGTTATATAGATTATACCACGTCAAATTGCCGATACTCAAATAGTTGATAATCTACGGCGATTAGTAAATTAATCCTTTGAAGATAAATCAAAAATACAATCTAACGTGTTATATTTTCCAAAATATTAAATTTTATGCAATGAAAATGTTCGTCACCAGTATCAACAGTTTCAAGCTAATAAAATATCGAGAGATATAATTCCATTTTGTTCGTCGAGATTGGTGGTTTTAGATCGCATGAATTATTCGAAGACCTCGGGGTTGTCTATCGCGGGGCATAAGTCTGTTTAAGAATTCGTACGTGGTTCGAGAGTCGTTTGCTGTTCGAGGATTTAATAGCGACTCCTGCGGTCCCGATGTCGTTGAAGACTCTAATAATACGATTCGAGAACGAGTTTCAGTAGTGTGCTCGGTACACATAATTGAAGAACGGATTCTGTTTGCAGTTATGACGATTGAATGCGAGCGGAAGAGTTCCTTTCCACGCTCTAGTTTTCAAAGGAAAGAGTATTGCTATAAGCGTCTTCTTTACCGAGCCGTGATCACGTTCGAGGCTTCTTAAAATTGCGAAATCTTAGTTGAATATTGTCAGTCGACGAATACCTTGTCCCGTCTCAGCACAGATTGTTATTTTAGTATCACATCGACCGAGAAAAAAAATAATATTAACATGAATTTAGAGCATATTAGATAACACATTTCATCTGTAATCTTTTCCAATCAATTTATGCTACAGAATTATGTGTTTTAACCTTGTTGTGAAAGGCAATTGCAGGGAGCTGCTAAATAATTTTCTCCACATACATATTTAAATTTATCAAGAATAAAAAAATCTTATCTGTAAAATTGGTATTATGCCCCTACTTTAATAGGGTGAATTATAAAGTTATTTTTCATTGTGATTAAAAAAAGGCTATTTTATAAGGTTATCAACGTTAAATTCGCATGTCTTCAAGACAATTGCATATGAAAAATTGGATTCGAAATAGAATATACTGGGACAATCCATCAACGAAATACAGTATTTAGATTTTCAATTTTGTAGAAACATACTTTTTCGTTTCTTCTCCACATACTATCTCAGGGAAATTCGCCACTGTGCGTGTGACAACCTCACTGTGATATTTTCTACTCGCGACCGCCGCCACCGTCTAGCACAGGGAATATTATATTTCCTCGCGCTTCGGAGGCAGCGTCCTCGGAATTCACCGTGTACCGTATCATGCTAATACTATCTTAGGCGGCATTGTAACATCGCCGTTTTACTATTCCGCGAAGTGCTCCGCCGCGCCGAGCCTGTTTCCGAGAGTCTAACCAGGGATGGGGAATTTCTGAACGTGTTCTACCCCGTCGTACCGCCTCTTGGGAAAGTTCTTTCCATGCTTATGTAGAGAGGGTGCTGCGGTGTTATTCGTGGCGAGACGCGGATGGAGGTGATTCTACGGATACAGAGAAATATTTTTTTCGTATGCTGCCTCTCGTACACGAGGAAATCGAAGTTGGAAAATGGTGGATAGCGGGAATGCTTTCGAATGAGGTATTCCCTCTTTGTAGACAATGTTTCCATTGAATGGGACTGTGGGTGTAATTATAGAGAGGCGTTCGACGGTATTTAATATTGGAACTATCAGACCTATCAAAGTGACGGAATTCAGATTTGGTATTTTACAATCACTGAAATTATTTAGGTGCTTTCATGGGTATTTCAATAGTCTGATTAATACTTTTTACTAATACTTCTTTCGGAGTGAGCGAACAGAGCTATTTAAAAATTAAATAATTTCTCCGTTCGGTTATTCGAAAACTCGATTCTATAATATTCTACTTTACGTGCTCAGCAAGCGTCTGTAAACAAGGCTGCCAAAAATAGTTTCTTTTCGAACTGTAAGCATTAACGTCCGTCTGATTTCTTATTTATGAAGCCACTCAAAGCCTATGACGTGTGTATACAGCGTACCGGTTTATATATGGTACAGAGGTTAAAGCAACGAACGAAAAGCTTTCAGCGCAGAATAAACGAATGATCCCTTCTACCTGCTGTAATTGAAGAGTAAACGATCTTCGGACGTGTAGGATGATGAAAAAAACGTTACTTGTCTATTACGAGAGTTCACGTGCCAATGGATCTTGACGCAACCTTTTCCGCCGACACCCTGGATATTTGACATTCATGTTTTTATTGCCCATCGATTCT